AATACATGTCGAGCTAAGGAAATTAATACATGTCAAGCTAAGAAATGTCCTTAGGAAAATGAGAATCCTAAAATCCCTCATTGTCTTCATGTTAAACCTAGACAAAGGACAAGAACCCACAGTATGGATTCGTTTCTGTTTCCTAGACCACACTAATTCTCCTCATTATTGCCAACCTTGGCATTACAGAATTCTACCATAAGGAATGTTCTTAAGAAAATGGAAACCTAGAACACCCCATTGTCATCATGTTAAACTATACACAGGGCAAGAGCCCACAATATAGAAAAAAATGTGGTGAAAGAGACTTCAAATTGTCAAAGGACTAAGTCAAGACTGTATACTTCTCCTTATCTGTTCAATGTGCTTAATATATACCAAGAGACGATGGATTAGACAACAATAAACACTGGGAGCCTTTCAGAGTTGGTTAGAAGATGGGTGGCCTAATAAATGCTTTAAACAAATAAATAAACACGGCTTTGAAATTGGAGGAATAAACATTATTAACTTGTGGTATGCTGATCAACTACACTATTTGATAGCTAAAATGCTAATGATATGCAAGCTCTAATAAGTGTCAAGGAGCATTTATTATTAAAATTATATATAAAGAGGGTAAAAGTAAATATAAAGGTGGAATACAAACAGAAGAACGAAACAACTGGTATTGCTACAGCAATTAGCCTTAGAATTGACAAGGAAGATATTGAGCAGGTAGACAACTTCAACCTTTTAGGTCTATCAATATAAAGGAATCAGTACTCAATAAATAAAGTGCACAAAGCACTTAGTAGTGAAACAATGGAAAATATAGATAATGTGAATGTCTATTCCTAAAAAGATCAATATCATGCAATAATTAATATCACACAAACACTCGTTTTTCCCATTACAGTGTCATTATTTGTGAGTTGGGCAGCCACGTGCATTATTTAAACAAACTTTTTATATTTTCATATGAATATTATTCTTGTTTTTGCTACTCTTGGGGGCAAGAGAATTAAAATTCAATTCTGCAGAAACTATCTACATTTAGAGAATCTATATTTTTTTTTTATTAACTGAGACTACTCAGCACTCCTGCAAAGCTAAATTGCACAGTGACTCAGCTGGAAGATCTTGAAGAAACAGATTTTTTTTAAGCCCAAAACAACTGGGTAATATCATTGCCAATGCAACTTTCCGTGCAACTAGATAAGCTGCATTGCCCTCAGATCATGATATTGACAATATTCAGCTGAAAGCCTAAATGAAATGTCTTCACGAAGCATTGTATTTTAATTGCCCACACTTTTCTATGCTATAAGCATAGCATTAAAATGAACAAGTAAATACCATATGAAAGCAGCATGCAACAGCAACTACTTCCAATGTGAAGAATGATCAATTCCAGAAAGCATTCCAATCTCACAAGATGGTTAAAAAAAACACTGAGTCATCTGTAATATGTAAAACAATAATCAAACCTAGGACAACATTACAATTCCTTAAGTCAACTTGGTAGGAAACACTGAATCAGAAAGGCAGTGATTTTCTTTGAATCAGAAGAAGAAAAGATAACATAACTAAATGTACGCAATGGTTTACTTTAGATGTAATAATCCAAGATATATTGTCATGAGAATAAACCTCACAGATCAAGCACTTGGTCTTCTCTTTGTTGGAAATGAGTTGAGATGAAGATTTCTAGGTTTATTTTTCAATAAAGTATAACTTCTTTGATATTGATTTATTTCAATTTTGATTAGTTATGTGAGGAGATAGAGATACTGTACATGTAGGTGTCAGTTCCTAAGAAACACAGAGACATGGGCCTAAAAATTTCAAAAAATGTGGCTTTCTGCATCTGGTGGCACTATAGTTAAAGTGGAAACCCTAGAGACCAGGGATGTCAAACTGGTGGCCCACAGGCCAGATGCATCATCACAGGCCATGCCCACCCCGCCTCCGCAAAGCACAATATGTCATGTGACAGATCGAGTTTGACACCCGTGTTATAAACTTAAAAGACACTTACTTGGTATCTTATAGAGGTGAAAACTTACTATATTTTAAAATGGCAGCTTTAACAACGTTATCACAGAAATCCACAAGGGCAGAAAAATTAGAACTAAAAACTTCAGGGTTCCCATGGATTGCCCACTCAAATTATATCATGATTCATTTATTATCTATTAACATAAGCATAATTTCAGTGCAAGAGAACTACAAAAAACAAAACTCATATACAATAGCTATACTTTTTATACTATGCCAAGCAAATAAAGGAGTATCTGATTAAATCTTCTATTCTGAAATATGGATACTTATATGATACATACACATCTGGTTCATATTGGATAATTTCCAAGTTTAGCTTTTCAATTAAATTAAACTTTTTACAGAAAACAATTCTCACAGAAAAATAAAACTGGTTAAGTGGAAGGCAATTAAATGGCAACAAATTTCTCTGTCTGTCTGTCTGTCTGTCTATCTATCCATCCATCCATCCTTCACTCATTCATTCATTTATTTATGCATGCATTCATCCCTTCATCTATTTATCAAAGGTGACTCTGGGTGACTAACAAGTATAAATAAGAATAAATAAAAACAAAAAATGTATCTGAGGAGCCATCTAACCCTGATGGGATTAGCCCAACTCACTCCTTTCATTCCAGCCAAAAAGGCCTATTTTGGAACCCATCTGCCAAAGAATTTTAATTGGCAGGGTCTAGAAAAAGAGCCTTTTCTGCTGTGGTCTCTTGTTGGCAGACCAATGGGAACATTGTTGGTGAGATCCATTCCCACAGCCTGAAAACATGGCTCTGCCACCTGGCCTGGGACTCCAATAGTGGCCAGCTACATTGGGGTGGCTGATGGGATAGAGAAGATAACCACTTGCAGGTTGCCCATCATCTTGGTTTTTAACTTTTCTGCAGGATCTAATCTGAGTCAGCCACTAAAACCAGAGGTTTAGTCTTCCGAGCTTTCGGACTTGTGCTGGAGCCCATCTTCAGGGAACTTCTCTCTACCAGAATGTGTGCTTTAGGCTATTCTATGCATAGTATTTATGTGGTGCCTAGTTATCTGTAGCTTTTTAATTGATTGGGGTGTTGATGGAGTACATGTTAAGTGCAGTTGGTCAGCCAGTTATGAATAAATCTGGTGCTGATACTATCTAACCCACATTTTTCTATCTTATCAAGTAGTAGGTGGTGGTCTACTTTATCAAATGCCTTACTGAAGTCCAAGTAAATTATATCCACATCATTTCTCTGGTCCAATAATTTTGTCTCTTTGTTAAAGAAATGCAATAAGATTTGTCTGGCATGATCTGTTTTTTGACAAACCCATGTTGGCTTCTGGTTATGACTTTGTTTGCCCCTAAGTGTTGCAGATTCGTTACTTGGTTATCTTTTCCAGCATCTTTCCAGGTATTGATGTCAGGCTGATAGGTCTGTGTTTCCTGTTCCCCCCCCCTTTTTTTTTGATGATGGGAACTACATCAGTCCTTTTCCAGTCCTCTGATAGTTCCCAGTGCTCCAGGATCTGTAAAAAATATAGTTCAGGGGTTCCGAGACCACATCTACCAGTTCTTTCAGAACCTTGGGGTGAAATCCATCTGGTCCTGATGATTTGAATTTGTCTACAGTGGATAAATATTCTCTTAACATTTTCTTGCATATTTTGACTTGTATTCCTAATCTGTCTTTTACAATATTGTTTTTGATAGATTGGACTGTTTTTTTCCCTTTTGTGTAAAGACAGATGCAAAAAAGGAATTAATCAGTTCTGCTTTCTCCCTTCTTGCCATTTTCTCCCATTAATGGACCAATCGTTTCCTTGACTTTTTTTCTTGTTTTTTCATGGTGAAATAAGTTTTTTTTTGTTATTTTTGACTTTTCCCACAAATCTTAGTTGATTTTGAGCCTTAGCTTTCCTGACTTCATCATGTTGCTTCCTTGCACTGCCAAGTCCTCAGCTCCTAAGTATCTGATAAGCTGGTTACAACAATCTTAATAGCAGTGAAACTGAATGTATGTCTTTGTTCATTGCAATGTGAGGCTACCAATGAGTTTGGGTCTCCTCATCTGATCACTCGCTTGTGTTTCTGCAATCTGGTGGTTAGCTTCCTCCTACATAGTTACAGGGGCAATCCATGCATGGGATCTGATAGATTACATTAGAATGCAGTAGATTGCATTAGACCGTAAAAGCTGCGTTCTATTGCTTCTGAAATGTTTTTTATGTATGGCAGAGTGTGCCATAAAGTTGGTCTTATACCTTCTTTCTTCCTTTCCCTTGCGTATTGCACAGGCATCTTGTAATAAATTCTGCCTGAATTGTTCATAGATGCCTGTCCTTAGTTGTTTAGCTTGCTGTAGGTTCTCACACTGCCATATAGTGTTCTGACACAACTCTTTTTGTGTGATAGCAGATGGTTACTGTTGAAACTAAGAATGCATGGAGTGTGGGTGCCTTGTGACAAACCGTGTTTTCTAGCTTACCATTTTCCTGCCTATTGACAAGCACATCTAAAAACAATAACTGTCTACTCATTTCTTTATTGTGAATTGTATATCTGGGAAGATAGAGTTCAGTAGGGTATGAAAGTTTTTCAGTCCATTTCTTTTGATGATGACATACGTTGTCATCCATGTATATTCAACATTCATGATTCTATTTTAAATTTTAAATATGACCATGTTGCTATCCTAAAGTTCTAAATAACTGAACATGTTTACAAGTTTACTTTATTGCATTGTAATATGGAAATGTGAAAAAATATGAGAATACAGCAAACTATTAGACCATTTTTCAAAAGGGAGATATTTCACAAACTCCTTTACTGCCAGGATAGTTTCCTGCAAGAAATTACTGCTGGTGCAATCAACTGATATTTTCAAAATCTTCCAGCCAAAGAATTTATTGAGAATCAGGCTAATGTAACTTATAAATCCTTGTATAGTTTAGAGTGACAATTTCAATTTAAAGGTATAGCAGAAAATACTTACTAATTTGTTTTCCTGCATGTATATTCTCCGTAACTTCAGGCACCCTTTAGCTATAATGGTCATTCCTTCATCTGAGATCTTGTAACACTGCCCAAAGTGAATGTCTTTCAATTCTCTGCATTCTGAGCCCAACTATAAATAAAGTTAAAATCTGCATTAACAACAAACTTTAAACCATTTGTATTCTACTAATTACCATAGAACTACCAAAACAATTTACAAGGATAGGAAAACATCCAGCAACAAAAAGAATTTCACTGAAAAAACATTACATTTAGCAACATGTATGTTTTTGCCTATATGCATATGCACATTAGATGGTTAGATAATGAGATTTTAACAATGTTTTAGCAGCATATTGGCCTCAAAACATTAACTTCTATTACAGTAATCATTGCAGTGCTTCAGAAGTTCACAGTGACTCTGATTTTCTACAATCATAAAAGAATCAGGCTTATTATATTAACTATACACTTAATATGATTTTTAAAAATTGTTTTCGAAGTTACTTCCAAGAATGTCGTCCGAGGCAAATCTTAATTCCTAATAATAAGTTCTTCATACAACATTTAAAGCCGTGGCATCTGATAAAGCCATCAGTTCTACCAACTTATTGGTAATCAGTATATAAAACTATAAATATAATACTAATGTTGCATACAGATGTTTCAGCTTCCATTAAGAATTCACAGTGCTATAGTTTTTTGAATTAACCTCTGTAGAAGGTAAATAGTAATGCTTCTTACTAAGTGAATAATAATGCTCTTTTACAACTGGAGCTGGCAAAAATATTACTACCCCAGATAGAAATAAATTAATACTGTGTATCTTTCCTTCAGATAAAATAGAACTCCATTCAAAACTAACTATATATTATTGTCCATAGCAGTAAGCTTTTTAACCAATACAATTTCAATGTTTTTAGGATTTAGATTAAATTTCAAAAGCCTCTTCATAGATGCATCCAGAACTGAATGCAGTTACCTTTCACAAGGTAGAGATATGTATCATAAGTGAGAATTAAATAATAGCTTTAAGCCAACGAAGTAGTGAAATGAAAGTTGAGAATATGGAAGGTATATAAGAAGTATAACATGTAGCTTATTGCAAACCTAAATTTAACAAACCCTGAAGAGATCAAATGTATTTTCTATTCAGAAAAAGACAACTTTTAAAAATATACTTCTATTATAAGATGCATTACTTTGGGTGCTTTTAGGAAAAGGGAAATTTGAAATGTAAATTTTCAAACCAAGAGTTTTCAAACCAAGAGTTTTCAAACCAAGAGTCATTTCAAACCAAGAGTTTTCAAACCAAGAGTCATTTTATTAAATTCACTCAAAATAATTCCCATTTTACACTGGTAAAATAATAGCAGATCACAAAACAAAGTTAAAGTTGTTCAACTTGTATCTTGTTACTGTCTTCCCCAAAAAGACAAGGAAGTTATAAAGAGCAGGATGAAAAAGCAGTTTGAAGACTGATTTTGAAAGAAACATGGTCAGAGAATATTCATGTAATGTGAATAACATTAAATTCCACATTCAAGGCCTCTTGAATAATGGGAAGGAAAACACTGATGGTCTGCTCAAATCTCTTGTTATTTTTCAGAAACCATGGACACCAGTGAAGTGTTAAAGTAGCATATGACTAGAACTGGAGAAATGTCACTATCTTCAAAAGCAAGTTTGGGCAGAATTACAGGTCAACCAATGTGAGTTAAATAAATACCTTGAAATATTATACTGCAAACTGATTTATAAACACCAAAAATCAGTATGGAATGGATAAAACCAAGTATTATCAACTAATCTTATCTCATTGATTATTTATTTGTACCCTGTCTTTATTATTTTTACCAATAATTCAAGGCAGCAAAGATATCCAACACAGCTTCCTCCTTTCCCCCCCACAATATAACCATGATAAGATAAAGAAATGGAATAAAACTGCTATTTAATAGAGCATCATGATCTATTCTAGCCAACGTCTATCCACTGCAGGATGAAGGTCTCTTCTGCATGTTTCCAACCAATACGGTCCTGAGCTTTCTTTTGCCAATTGGGCCCGCCATACTTGCTGATGTCGTCGATCCATCTTGTTTTATGTCTCTTTTGTGGACGCTTTTTATCAAGTGGAATCCATTCTATGACTGCCTTAGTCCACCTGCCATCATTTCTTCTTGCTATGTGACCAGCCCATTTCCATTTCAATCTTTTTACTCTCTTGATGATATTGTATACTTTTGTTTGTTCTCTAATCCATGTACAGGTCTTTCTATCTTGTCTTGTGATGCCAGGCATGTATCTTTCCATGGCTATTTGCATCACTTGTAGCTTTTATATTGATTTGATTTTAATAAATACAAATACAAAAATATGCTCTTAAGAATGAAAATGGTGGCACAGTGATTAGAATGCAATTGTAGGCTAATTCTGCCCACAGCCTAGAGTTCAATTCTGACAAGGCTTAAGGTTGACTCAGCCTTCCATCCTTCCGAGGTCGGTAAAATGAGGACCCAGATTGTTGGGGGCAATAGGTTGAAACCACCCAGAGAAGGCTGTAAAGCGCTACTTGACAGTATATAAGTCTAAGTTCTATTGTTAGTGCTATTGCTAAAATCAAAGGCACATATATATCATGGAAAATATCTGGCACGTTTGTGAATATCTTGGAATTATAACTGATTGGTAATTGGAGGAATGAAGATGTGATATGGCAGCAAAAAAGATAAATGCAATTTTTAAGCTGCATTAACAAAAGTATAATTTCCAGGCCATATGATTTTATCTTTCCACTCCATTATGCAGGCTCTCTACCAGGTTCTGGGCATTTATTTTAATTAAATTAAAATAATTTCTCACTTTCTCAATAATTATAATTTATGTAGATAAAATCTTGAAGAATGATTCTGCCAAAAAAAACCCTAATTTGCTTGTATATTTGCTTTAAAACAGTAGAGTTATAAAAATTGAAATATTATGTAAAATATAAATTAATCCCCAATTTATTTATCTTGAAAACATCTGACTTACCTCACATACCTGAATAATTCAAGACTATTTGTCTAGATTTTGCTCCTTGGTTGTAATTGAATTTAGCAATTGAAAAAGTTTTCCACGCACTTGTAAACTGAGATGAACACAGCTCTGAAGATTACTACTAATAGCATTGTCTGCCTATTCCAATTTATAGTGTAACCAGGAAGAATGACAGACTTTCATATCAAAGAAATAAGATTTAGGTATAGAATTTTATGGTGTGTCTGCAAACTTAAATAATTGTCCACAGACAGCAGTATCTCACACTCTGCCTTATCTAGTTCAGTAAGTTTACTTTTAGAATGTCTTCTGGAACAAATACAAAATTCTAAGACTGGATAAGACAGGGCATCCTTGATATAATTCATACTATATATATATTAAAGAGTATGTAATCCCTCATGATGTAGGAGGCAATGTTATCCAATGTTCAAAATACTGTGAGAACCTGCAAGAAATCACAACTTATTTCAAAAGTTTCCAAAATGCCATATTAATTTTTTTTAGTAGCATGCAAACTGTTGGATTTTGCATATTTTGAATTAATTAATTATATACAAACTTTAACAGAACGTAGATGGTCCCATATAAAACTATCAACAGCTGAATTCTAAATACAGTATATTTAGAATTATCTAAAGGCACATACAGTAGAACTTAACTTGTATGAAGAAACTTACCTGCTTAAGTCCTTCATCAGTAAGACGATCTTGGTTGCCAACATGAATTTTCTGAAGCTGAGGACATTGTGAGGCAACAGCAGATAGAGATGTATCAGACAGCTGTTTACACCGATATGCAGTATATTTTAGAAGTCCGGGACACTTAGATGCTAGCATACATACACCAGTATCTGTCACATTACGACAATCAGAAATGTTGATTTCAGTTATATTCTGGCTTCGTGATGCAATTCTTTCCAGTAATTCATCAGTGACCTGTCAAATGATAGCCAATATATAACATTACACTTGTCTTTATCAAAAATTATACAAACAAAACCACATGATAATGTCAACAAATATATAATTTCTGACTTTAGAACTGACTGCTTGGTACTTCACTGTAAATTCCTCTTTTATGTAGGAAAAAGCAGTTTTTAGATAATCTGCATTTAATCCTTTTAGAGCAAGATCCTGTATTAGCTTGTGACATGAAGAATTAAAATTGCTATTATATAACATTGTACATAGAAACATTTCCAACTCCCTATAACTTATGTCTAACTTTCACACAAACACCTCAAAAATTCTAGTTCTCAACATAGATGTCTAAGACTGAGCACTTATGCAGACCTCCAAAACTAGTACTTGCACTAAGAAATATTACTTTTGCACTAAAAACAATCCCTTGCACTATGCCAACATTCAAGCAACCAGGATCTAAGCTTTTGTCTGGAAGAACAAAAAAAGTCCATGTCACGAGTTTGTTTACAATGTCCCAATATACATTAGAGAAAAATCACAAAGAAAGATCTTAGGTAGCTGGGCTACATAAAATACTTTATTTACATCAGCTTATCTATGTTAAGCCATACTGTGGTTCAGCACACTATGTCTATAGAAAATCTCAATCACAATACAAAACCATGCCATGGCTCTTCATGTTTTGGTTTGAACAGAGATACTGGCCTAACAAATAAGCCTTTTTGCACCCAAATATAAAACCAGAATTGCTCATGCAGCAATGACTCCATTGCTCCATTTGTTTCTCCAATGTCTTCAACCACCACCTGGATCAATTTGAACACCATAATATATAAATTATGTAATAAATTATTGGACTGGATGCTCAGTTTAGAAACAATAAGTTTATATAAAAGCAGGTATTGCTGAAATCATGGACAATTCCTTTATCCCCAATTGAGCCACTGTACTTCTGTACTGCTATAAAAAAAATGAAACACAACAAAATAGAAGTGACATTCAACCACAGTAAAGACCTCTGCAAAGATTACTTCGGCGATTTTTGCACTATGTGCATGACACGGCTATCTTTTCAGGAAAGAGGCAACATATTCTACATACAATGGAAGAGAATATATGTAACTCAGTGATGAACTGTGCAATGTTCTCTGAGCTCTCAATTAAGTATCACTGATATTACCTAATCAGATAATGAAACATCTACAAGCAAATAATCAAGCTCAGAGAGTACCAAGGACTCCACATATTTTGTCTCAATAGCAAAACACTTCATGTCTCTCTGAAGCTTCTGTATTTTTCTTACTATAGTCACTTGTAAAAAATTGGTGCCTTTGGAAACCACTAAAAAGATTCTGGCACTGATGGACATTGCTAGAAAATGAAGAGTCTCTTTTCAATATTTTCCAGCAAGCTGTACCTCCAGTTCTAGTGTTTCAGAAGATGGCTTGTAAGAGACTCCCAACTTTCTCCAGGAAAATGTGAATAGGCTAGAAGAATGCAACTGTTAGGCATCTGCAAAAACCTTTTAACTTTTCCAAGTGCCCAAACCACTGAGAAAATGTTACAAAGTCAGCAAAGGAAAACAATAGGGTCATATTTGTTCACTTTTAGAAGTGACAGGACCACATGGCTTCACTCACATTTTCATTCACAATAAACATCTTTTTGAACTTATATAAAATCCTAATGGGTGGAATGTTGCCTGGAGAGGAGCATCTGTAAAATTTGCTGCTAGTGGCTCAGTCTTTTCAAAGTACATACTATAGCACATAGCATAATTAACCTGTGCTTAGTTTTGCATGTGAACATAACTATAAATTGCATTTGATACTCAAAAGTATTTACTACCTAAGAAATGATCTGACATAGCATACATTCCATATGTTCATCTTTCAAGCATCACTTTTTATCTGAAGAAAAAGATATTCATATTTTAATATTGTCTGCTCCATACCTGCTGACGACTACTGAGATCCAATTGTTTCCAAAATTGGAAATCTAAACAGAGGTCACGCCAGTATTTACAAACCAATGATGCTGAAAGACATCGCTCATTCAAAGATAAATTGGAAAATATCTATGAAAATAAAAAGAGAAAGTCAGAGTTCCTTTTAATGACATTCCAATGATAGAATCCTAACAGTTCTTCAATGCAAGCATCAAGCATCTTTTTCAATTCTAGCTGTACATCTTTCACAGCTACTCATTAATACTCAACATCCATTCCAATGGTTGCTATGCTATGAAAAAACATTAAAAATTAAAAATTGCACACATTCAATGTGTTTATTAGGCCATCATTTTTTATAATAGTTGCAAGCTTCTGACTTTAAGCCATTAGACTAAATTTAGTAAAAAAAAAAAAAAGGGGGGGGTGTAAGGATTATAGATAAAAATTGTATCTGTAGCAATTACATTATTAAATGGAATGAGAAATTTCTTTGCAGTGCGTGAAAATCTGAGATGGAGTGGTACAGCAGTCAGAAATTATATTAAGTTATAGTAGGATTTGTCTGTCAGAATGTTGGGACAAATTCACAAGCATTTGATTTGCTTTCTCCCCCATTTTTGTACATACAGATTCCACACCATTTCTGTTAAGAGCCAGGATGCTGAAAAAGAGGACAAAAATTAACTGGAAAATGTTTATATTTACAAACACTTACATAATGCATCGTTTGAGCACTCTTCCTACAGACTCAACATCTTTTTTACATCGTGGTGACCGAAACTGGACACAATATTCCAAGTGTGGTCTTATCCAGACATTATAAAGTGGTGTTAACACTTCATGTGATCTTGATTCTATCCCTCTGTTAATGCAGCCTAGACCTATATTGGTTTTTTTGGCAGCTATTGAAAATCAGTTCTGAATGAACTGTTGTAAGTCAAGGACTACTTGTAGTACAGTTCAAGCAAAGCCAATGTAAGGCTTTATTTTCTGCCATGGTAAAAGGATAATGCAGCACTATCCAAATTTTTAAAAAAGTAAAAATAAACCGTCAGTGAAGAAACATTTAGAAGGTGCAACTATTACTTTGATAGCCTACTTCTTGGAATATTGTTTTAATTATTTCACTGCAAGTTACCCACAGTAATAAGCATTTAACTTGAATTAACTTGAATATATGACATTTAATAACTGGTGCATTTGGTTAATAACTGTAAATAGCAAGTTGCTGTTTAAAAAAAATGGAAGGTAATACCTCTGCTCTATTAAGTAGATAAATTATCGTAAATTCTGTCATTATAGACAGCAATTACAAGTTTAGGCAGAATTCTTTGCAGGGTCACTTAAGGGCTTTTTATTCATCTATTTCAAGAAGGATTAAACTAACTGCAATAGTGTAGGATAAAGAAACAAATAAGGCAGTTTTGTAAACATCAAAATTTTTATACTTCACCAGTGGGTAGACACATAATAAAGGTCGCCAGCAGTGTGCTGCAGCTGCCAAAAAGCCAACACAGTGCTAGGCTGCATTAACAGAGGGATAGAATCAAGATCACGTGAAGTATTAATACCACTCTACAATGCCTTGGTAAGGCCACACTTGGAATACTGCATCCAGTTTTGGTCACCATGATGTACAAAAGATGTTGAGACTCTTAGAAAGAGTACAGAGAAGAGCAAAAAAAAAGGTTATTAGGGGACTGGAGGAAAGGTTGATGGAATTGGGTATGTCTAGTTTAATGAAGAGAAGGACAAGGGGTGACATGATAGCAGTGTTCCAATATCTCAGGGGCTGCCACAAAGAAGAGGGAGCCAAGCTATTCTCCAAAGCGCCTGAAGGCAGGACAAGAAGCAACAGATGAAAACTAATCAAGGAGAGAAGCAACCTAGAACTAAGGAGAAACTTCCTGACAGTTAGAACAATTAACCAGTGGAACAACCTGTCTCCAGAAGCGGTGAATGCTCCAACACTGGAAGTTTTTAAGAAGAAACTGGACAGCCATTTGTCTGAAATGGTATAGGGCAGGGGTAGGCAACTTTGGCTCTTTTATGACTCGTGGACTTCAACTTCCAGAATTCCTGAGCCAGCATGGCTGGCTCAGGAATTCTGGGAATTGAAGTCCACGAGTCATAAAAGAGCCAAGGTTGCCTACCCCTGATATAGGGCTACCTGCCTGAGCAGGGGGTTGGACTTGATGACCTCCAAGGTCGCTTCCAACTTTTATTATTATTATTATTATTATTATTATTATTATTATTATTATTATTATTATTATTATTATTATTATTATTATGATTATGATGATGATGATGATGATGTAGAGAGAGATGTGTGTCATTTTGGTATATAGTCCTCCTGAATGCCACCTATGCATTTTATATGATACTTTATTCTGCTTTATTTTGCTCAGACCATTGTCAAGGTAGCAGAGAGCCAAAATAAAATCATCTGAAACTTTCAAATATATATTATAAATGCCATAAAATAGGCTTGTTTTGGAAATTATATCTGTCAATCTGCTATTAAAGTCCTGAGCTATTAGGGTAAAATTTTTAAAAAGCAAAATAAAACCCCGTAATATAAGAAGCAGCTGAGCAGCTTCCAATTTCAGACTTACTTCTTCCTGCAATTCCAGTATAACAGAAATGAAAGCTGCAATGATCAAAGCTACAGCAAATAATTCACTTTAAATATCACTTATTCATATAGAATAAATTTATTTATTAAAAGATGTTTTTGTTTATAAATAGAGCAGGAAGAGGAATTTTTCCACATCAAGCTGAACAGTTCTGAATTACTTCATATCACCTTATGAAAAGACAAAAATCATCTCATAAAAGCATTTATCATCCTCTCAAGTCAGGGATTCAGCTTCACTTAAGACTCCTTATTGTCAGCATTGCTGCCAATAAACCTGTAGCTCAGTGCTTTAAATGGATTATAACGACACAGAACTCAACTAAAGTCTTCATCCCCATCTCTATGGCAAAATAGCGCAGCAAAAGCAATCTAGCCCACTGTTTGTCAACCTTGACCATTTTAAGGCATGTGGACTTCAACTCCCAGAATTCCACAGCCAGCAATGCTGGCTGTGGAATTCTGGGAGTTGAAGTCCACATGCCTTAAAATGGTCAAGGTTGACAAACACTGATCTAGCCACATGTTTGCAACCCTGCAATGGGATTTCCAGGCACTGCTGCCGATTGTTTTCAACACATGACTGAACCCCAACTAAGAAACAGGTGCAAGGTAGCCGAAGCAGAATGCAACACAGGTATCTAAGAAACCGGCAAAGAGCAGTTCTTGAAGATCAGGAGGAAGAAAACTTTAAATGATAGCTTTAAAAAAAAAAAGAGAGAGAGATAACCATGGCATACCTTGGAAGTCTGTGTATCCTAGTTATGACACCACCACCCTTGACAGTCCATTGACCACACCAAACCCACCTTGAGAAGTATGGAGGGAGGCAGCTGGTTAATATCCGGCACCGGGGCCTGCGACTCTTGGCAACAGTCCTCAGGGTTCTCGGGGGGCTCCTCGCAGTAGGGCTCGCCCGTCTCGTGCTTCTCTCTCCCCTCGAGCTCCGGCAGCTGCGAGGGAGAGCTACTCGGGCTTAACTCCTTCCCCTCCTCGGCGGCCGAGTCTTTAGGCGAACCTTCCCTGACACAGTCTACGGCGCGGGGCAGAGGGCAGAGGTGCTGCTCGGGCAAGAGCACCTGTTGGCATTCGGCGGGGTCGGTCGAGGGCGGCGAAGGGGCGCCGGTCCCCGCCGCATTTCCCCTGAGGGCGGCGCAACGGGGCTGTTTCCGGGGCGGGCAGGCGCGTAGCCCGATTCCTTTGCGCTTGCAGACCATCTCCCCGGGAGCTTCGCCGTTCTCCAGCGCAGAGCCGAAGAAGCCCCGGCGCGCTGACGACGGCGACGGCGGCGGCGAAGAAAAGAGCAAGCCGGAGAAGAACAAGCGGCGGCAGCAGCGGCGACCCCGCTCTCCCCAGACGGGCACGGGAGGCCAGCGCAGGAGGCGGCGAGCGTTGCGCTTGCCGGGGGGCTTCGCAGCCGTGCAGAGGAACGAAGGCGACGGCTGCTCCTTCGCGGCGGGTGGGCTGGCGCTGTGGACCAGGAAACACAGCATGCAGGGCCCACGGAGGAAGCAGGTCCGGGTCCGTGGCGGCGAAGGGGCCTTCCCCCTCGAGGGGGGCCGAAGGTGATTTTTCTCCGCCTTCGAATTAGCGCCTTTCCTCGAAAAAATATGGCCCATATAGGAAGCGGAGCCACGACCACCCTGCTCGGCAGGGCCTTTTGTGAGCGGCGTCAGCGCAGCTCAGCGAGCCTCACGACATGGCTCCCCGAGCCTATTCCTTACTCTCCAGGGCCGGCAACAACCACAAAGCCTCAGTTTCCGGGACATGGAAGGAAATGGCCAAGACTTCCGTCTCCCTGATCCGCCCCCAAAGAGTGTTCTAAAAATAACCGCAACAAACCGGGGACTCCATGGAAGCCCTTACTTCCGGTTCCGCTTAGAATCTTCCCACATGATGGAGGCACGTTAAACGCCTATTAGAACCGCAACAAACCGGGGACTCCATGGAAGCCCTTATTTCCGGTTCCGCTTAGAATCTTCCCACATGATGGAGGCACGTTAGACGCCTATTAGAACCGCAACAAACCGGGGACTCCATGGAAGCCCTTATTTCCGGTTCCGCTTAGAATCTTCCCACGTGATGGAGGCACGTTAGACGCCTGAAAACGCCGGTTCTACTTGGGGAACCCTAGAAATAAGTCAGTCTTAGGTTCCACCTTTGTCCCCTCGCTCAAGTCGTATTAAATCGAATTAGTGTTTTTAAAAGGAAAGGGAAGACGGCAGTATTTTACATTATTGATTTAAAACAGACTTCACTGCGTTGCAGAATGGATGCCGAGTTTTTTTTTTCATTAAAAGGGATAATTTTCTTCCCACCTGGGCCGCGCATACAGAAGTCTGCGATCTAGAAACCCGTATTTTGTAAAGCAGTGTTTCTCAACCTTGACAATTTTAAGGCATGTGGACTTCAACTCCCAGAATTCCACAGCCAGCATTGCTGGCTGTGGAATTCTGGGAGTTGAAGTCCACATGCCTTAAAATTGTCAAGGTTGAGAAACACTGTAAAGGAACGTTAGGGTGTATTTTATATTTTCATATATTTTTTTGTATTTTTATTGATCAAGGAAGCGGTGACAAGATGTGAGAGAGACAGTTCCATTGCTAATCCCTTGTTGGTTTTGCGTCTCCCAATCCAAATGAAATAAAGAATGTTATTTCTTTCAAAGAAGATATCCTACCTTAGTAGCTACAAAATATGCGCTCTCTGAAAATGGCAACATTTTCTCAGCCCTCATGATTGTTTTCCTGATGCATTTGAATGTTACTGACGTTCTTTTTTCTTTCTCTCTTGGCTTTGTTTGGGTTTAATTCTAAGACAGGTTATCATTTGCATGTAAGCATTCAAAGAAATGCCAGTGACTTGTTCCTTGTAATCAAGGAAAGCACACTGTTAATTAAATTTTAAATGTTTCAACTTCAGGATCTGGCCTTCTAAAGAGCAGTCAGGGTTGATCTCCTCTAGGACTGACCGGTTTGATCGCCTTGCAGTCCAGGGGACTCGCAGGAGTCTTCTCCAGCACCATAGTTCAAAGGCCTCAATTCTTTGTCGCTCAGCCTTTCTTATGGTCCAACTTTCACAGCCATACATTGCAACTGGAAAAACCATGGCCTTGACTATACAGTACTTTTGTTGGCAGGGTGATGTCTCTGCTTTTTAGTATGCTGTCTAGATTTGCCTCCCCAGGAGCAAGTGTCTTTTAATTTCTTGGATGCAGTCCCTATCTGTGGTGATCTTGCAAACCAGGAAGATAAAATCTGTCACTACCTCCATTTCTTCCCCATCTATTTTGCCAGGAATTGAGAGGGCCAGATGCCATGATCTTGGGTTTTTTAATGTTGCATTTCAAGCCAACTTTTGCACTTTCCTTCTTTACCCACATCAAGAGGCTCTTTAGTTCCTCTTCGTTTTCTGCCATTAGAGTGGTATCATCTGCATATCTTAGGTTGTTGATATTTCTCCCGGCAATCTTAATTCCAACTTTTGATTCATCTAGCCCAGCCTTTCTCATGATGTGTTCTGCGTATAAGTTAAATAGGCAGGGCGACAGAATACAGCCTTGCCGGACTCCTTTCCCAATTTTGAACCGATCAGTGGTTCCGTGTCCAGTTCTCACTGTTGCTTCTTGACCAGCATATAGGTTTCTCAAGAGACAGATAAGATGGTCTGGTATTCCCATCTCTTTAAGAACTTGCCACAATTTGTTGTGATCCACACAATCAAAGGCTTTGGCATAGTCAATGAAGCAGAAGTAGATGTTTTTCTGGAATGCCCTAGCTTTCTCCATGATCCAGCGTATGTTGGCAATTTGATCTTTAGTTCCTCTGCCTCTTTGAAATCCTGCCTGTACTTCTGGAAGTTCTCGATCCACATACTGCTGGAGTCTAGCTTGTAGAATTTTAAGCATAACTTTACTTGCATATGAAATGAGTGCAATGGTGCAATAGTTTGAACATTCTTTGACATTGCCTTTCTTTGGAATTGGAATGTAAACTGACCTTTTCTAATCCTGTGGCCGCTGCTGAGTTTTCCAAATTTGCTGGCAAATTGAGTGAAGCACTTTTACTGCATCGTCTTTTAAGATTTGAATAGCTCAGCTGGAATACTGTCACCTCCACTAGCTTTGTTGTTGCTCAGCTTTCCTAAGGCCCATTTCACTTCACATTGTAGGATGTCTGGCTCGAGGTCAGTGACCATCCCATCGTGGTTATCAGGGACACTAAACTCGTTCTTGTATAGTTCTTCTGTGTAATTTTGCCACCTCTTCTTAATCTCTTCTGCCTCTGTTAGGTCCCTGCCATTTTGGTCCTTTATCATGCCCACCTTTACATGAAACGTTCCCTTCATATCTCCAATTTTCTTGAAGAGATCTCTGGTTCTTATTCTATTGTTTTCTTCTGTTTCTTTGCACTGTTCATTTAAGAGGGCATTTATATGGCCACCCAAGTCTCAGTAGGCCTGTGTGACTTACAACAATAAAAACAAAATATAAAAATAACCACTACCACCTTGCCCTGGCAACAACAAACAAACCATTTGATGGGTTCCATCTCATTCTGGGGTCCCCAAGCTTGTTGGAAATATCAGGTCTTCGGGGCTTTGTGAAAAATTGTCAAAGTGGGGACCAATCTTACTTCTGTGGGGATGATATTTCACAGGGAGGGAGCCACCATGGAGAAGGCCCTTCTTTTTGGTCCCACTAGATGGACCTCCTTAGGAGAGTGGATCCATAGCATTCCCTGCCTCCCCACTCTGATGTCACTGGGAAAAGATGCTCCATGCATGGCTTTGAAGGTGACAACCAGCACCTGGAATTGGACTTGCAGCTCCCGCAGGAAAGGTGATACATGCACATCTAGGCCTGCACAAAACCATGCAGGCCACTGCATTTTGAACCATGGAAGCTTACAGATACTTCTTAAGGGCAGCCTTATATAAAACACATTGCAATAGTCAAGATAGGAGGTGACTAGGGTGTAGGTGACTGTGAGTAGGGATGTTGGTACAGGAAAAAGATAGCTTGTGCAAAGGTACTACCATCTCCTTGAGCAGAAGTTATGAGTCCAGGACAACTCCCAGATTACATAGCCAGTCTGCCTGGGGCAGTGCTACTACATCCAGATAAAAGGAGACAATTCTCCATAGATGAAAAAACTCCAAACTCAGAGCCATTCCATCTTTTCAGGATTCAGTTTCAGCCTGTTGCCCTCCATGCAGCTCTTAACAATCTTCAAGCACTGTATTCTCTCTCACTTCTTTCTGATAAATTTAATCTTATACTTAAAAGGGTAGACTTCTCCCATTTAATATGCAGATTCTTTTAGAGGGGAACATCATAAGATCATCCTAAATTATAGGAAGTAGAGTTGCAGACTATATGTAATCAAGGCTTTTTTTGTCATAGAACGCCCAGAACGGAGTTCCGGCACCTTTTTTGGATGGAACCTTGTAGGGTAGGCAAGGCGGGTTGTATAACGTGTGTGAGTTCCGGCACCTTTTTTTTTTTTTTTTTACAAAAAAAGCACTGTATATAATAATAATAGTAAAGTTGGAAGGGACCTTGAAGGTCATCTAGTCCAACCCCCTGCTCAGGCAGGAAACCCTATACCATTTCGGACAAATGGATTATAAATGGATTATAAACTCAGTATCCCAGTCATCATGGACAACAGCCATAGATATTTCAAAATTCCTGNTTATGGAAATGAAAAAAAATGCAGTATATGCATGAGGACAACACTACACCAATTCAACCATCATAATTTGCCTTGATCTGGAAATTATTTCAAATTACTGCACATTTCTTATTTTCAAGATCTATCTATACATTGAAGATGGGCAAGGCTACTGTGGTCCTAATGTGGGAATCAGAAGCTAAGTACAGCCTTGTCCCTAGTGTGTATATACTGTATATTGGTCAGTTCTTTTAATAATCTGTGATGAAATACTTGAGAGTAGAGCTATTTACTATAATAATAATAATAATAATAATAATAATAATAATAATAATAATAATAATAATAATAATAATAATAATAATAATAATAATAAAAAAGTTGGAAGGGACCTTGGAGGTCATCTAGTCCAACCCCCTGCTCAGGCAGGAAACCCTATACCATTTCGGACAAATGGCTGTCCAGTCTCTTCTTAAAAACCTCCAGTGTTGGAGCACTCACCGCTTCTGGAGGCAGGTTGTTCTACTGGTTAATTGTTCTCA